AATGAAAGTTTGGTGGGAAAAAAAATTGTGTAATAAGTGGCTATTTATAAAAGAAGAAAATTAGAAAAAAAATAAAAAAATAAAAAAAAGGAGCTCGTGCTCGTGGATGGCTACAGTAGGAGTCGAGCGGGCAAGTCGACGAGCCGCTCGGCTCGATTGCCACCACTCTCGAGTCACATTTAATGCTAAGTTCCAAGCATGCACACTATTTTAACCGTTTTATTTAAACATTACAACATATGGAAATTGAAAGGAATTTAGATTCTTATGTAATTCTTTGATCTGAATAGGCTTCATTTATAAGAATGACATGATCTCTATAGGACATGTTCGAAGGAAGGAAGTCTACTAAATTTAACATGGCCAGCGTAAAATTTGAAGTATTTGGTTGATTTATGTCTTATAGGTAAATTAAAGATAAAAGATTATGATTGTCTAATCCATTCGAATTTTGATCAAGAATATAACTTTGGTACTATGTTAAAGATTACATTTCGATACGAATTTTATTATACAATATTATGAGTATTCCGGCTATTGTAGTTGTCGATTCATAAATCATAACTGATGAATTCGTTAAATGTGTGTCAATGGGATTCTCAAAGAAGAAGTCAAATGATCGTATGGAAATAAGACATTAAGTGTTATCAGTTTAGTATATATTAAATTTAATAAAATTAAAGTAAAGAAATTCTTGAAAAAATTTGTCCTCTGTTACAATTTCAAGATTTCACACACACTCTTGCACACACAAGACTCAAATATACGAAAAAAGAAAGAAAACGAGAAAGAATAGTCGAGAAACTCAAAGGCAGTATTCTTGAACAGATGAAACGGAAAAGAGAACATTAGTCGAACATGGTTAAGTTTAGACCTTTATTTTTTACTTCGTAAACCAAACCTTTGTTGTCTGTACAAGTACATAGTTTACTTGCAATTTCCACCCTCCTAGTCCTAATCTTGACTAGTAATTATGAAAGTTGACAGATATAAATTGTTCTAAAGATAACATATTGTTGATAATGATTTTTAAATTATAGAATGTAGTAAAGAGTAGAGTAGAGAATGAAATTTTGGTGGGAAAAAGTGTAATGAGTGGCTATTTATAAAAGGAGAAAATTAGAAAAAAAAATAATAAAAAAAAGGAGCTCGTGCTCGGGCTCGTCTTTTTGACGAGCCCGAGCGGCTCGTGGATGGCTACAGTACGAGTCGAGCGGGCGAGTCGACGAGCCGCTCGGCTCGATTGCCACCACTCTCGAGTCACATTTAATGCTAAGTTCCAAGCATGCACACTATTTTAACCGCTTTATTTAAACATCACAACATATGGAAATTGAAAGGAATTTAGATTCTTATGTAATTCTTTGATCTGAATAGGCTTCATTTATAAGAATGACATGAGCTCTATAGGACATGTTAGAAGGAAGGGAGTCTACTAAATTTAACATGGCCAGCGTAAAATTTGAAGTATTTGGTTGATTTATATCTTATAGGTAAATTAAAGATAAAAGATTATGATTGTCTAATCCATTCGAATTTTGATCAAGAATATAACTTTGGTACTATGTTAAAGATTACATATCGATACGAATTTTGTTATACAATATTATGAGTATTCTGGCTATTGTAGTTGTCGATTCATAAATCATAACTGATGAATTCGTTAAATGTGTGTCAATGGGATTCTCAAAGAAGTTGTCAAATGATCGTATGGAAATAAGATATTAAGTGTTATCAGTTTAGTATATATTAAATTTAATAAAATTAAAGTAAAGAAATTCTTGAAAAAATTTGTCCTCTGTTACAATTTCAAGATTTCACACACACACTCTTGCACACACAAGACTCAAATATACGAAAAAAGAAAGAAGAAAACGAGAAAGAATAGTCGAGAAACTCAAAGGCAGTATTCTTGAACAGATGAAACGGAAAAGAGAACATTAGTCGAACATGGTTAACTTTAGAACTTTTTTTTTACTTCGTAAACCAAACCTTTGTTGTCTGTACAAGTACATAGTTTACTTGCAATTTCCACCCTCCTAGTCCTAATCTTGACTAGTAATTATGAAAGTTGAAAGATATAAATTGTTCTAAAGATAACCTTGACAATGCAGACCAACTGTTTGACACTTTGACTCAATGGAAGTATCAAAATCATGTCCCAGTTGTTTATGTTGCTGGTTGCAATGATATTGTGTAATGATTCTTGGTGAATGGGTTTTAGTGGTGGTGCTGGAATTACCACCGGTGATTGTGGAATCTGATAGGTGTCAAGTGGTGGCAGAGGGTGGCGCCACTGCAGAGGAGAGCCGGCAAGGAGGAGAGTTTGAAGGAGTGTTCCAGCTTCCATAACTGCTTGCAATGCACTGTCGTGCATTAATGGTAACTCCGCTGAAGGTGGTGGCGGTGATGAAACTATGCTTTCTTCACAATATTGGCATCTATTGACACGACTATAATGATATATCGTATATTTTAGTTTAATTAAATATTACTAAACACATATACGAGACTGACTATAAATTAATCCGATTAAAAACAACTCTCAAACATAAATTTTTTCCACAACTTACGATCTATTGATGCTTGTTTTTTGTTTAAGCTTCTTTACGTTGAATCTGTATGCTTGATATTCACTTCCTCCAGAATAAAAAAGAACAATCATGCTACACATACAGACTCAACGATAAAGAGGTGAAAAATTCAGATAACACTCAGGCAGTTTTCCATTGAAAGTTTAAGAGAGAGAGAGAGAGAGAGAGAGAGAGAGAGAGAGAGAGAGAGAGAGAGAACCAGAATAACATTTTATTTTCATCAAAGAAACAAAAACTGTTTGTTAAAAACAAACAAGGTTTCAGGTTCAGATTTAACAGTCATCTTCATCCTTAAATAAAATAGGTAGTAGAGAGTATTTTGTGTTCAGATATCATTCAGGAACACAGTCGTTAGAACCTTATTGGTGCAAAGAGATGCCTTCAACAGCTTCAAAGCCTGAGAGAAAAAAAGACTTTTATTGCCTGTGAAGACAGAATGAAACGATGACTTGTGCAAGGAAATGAATTTACCTCTTTCATCCCAAAGTTCACCTCCTTTTCCTGTAGTGTACCCACTTCCTTCACATTAAACTGGTTCAGCGAAGCAATGCTCGAAATTGCGGACACTGGCTTCACCATCAGATCATCCATTACCATGTAAGTGACCACTCCTTTCACCAATCCTCCACCCGCATTCAACAATTGGTTCACGCGGGCAGGAGCAATGTATTTTATCTGCTGCTTCATAAATTTACGGCAATTGGGACACGTCACAGTGGGGTCATCGGTAATAAAGGAAACAGGATAAGAATCAGGGCATTTGTAAAAGCACTTCTCAGTTGGTGCATCATTGAGAAGTAAGAGAGGAACTGAAGTAATGGGAGTTTGCACCTTCGGTTTCAAACTACATCCTTCGTCTGCCCATGCTGAATGTAGAAATCATTCAAATTTTCAATACTATCGTAGAGATTTCCCAAGCAGCCCACCATTCCTTGTTTTCCAAGATGCCTAACTACAGTAGCTACTGGCAATGAAAGAATGTTAGAGATGAAATCAACAGTCTTTGCCAGCTTCAGCGGATATAAGACTTTTGCTTTTTGTATCAATCATAAGCTTCAAACTCACCTTGGATTCAGCCATACTTGTTTGTTTTTGTTCACTGAGTCTCTTAAATTGGAAGAGAAACTCACAGTCTATTTATATGAACGCTAGGTGCTTTCTGTTCTCTCTGGCTATTGAAATATCCAAAAATTATTTATGGGTACCCCAACTGGTCTTTCTTCAAGTTCCAAAAGGATAAGTTTTCAATTCACAGTGTCCCATTACTCTGGTTATTGAGAACTTAAATCACTATTTGGAAGTTGAAAATTTTACAATAAACGAAGCAGAAATTCGGATATATGTAAGATAAAAAGAAAAAAATGCATTGAGTTATTGTCATGTCCAATGCGATCCACAATACTACATTGTAATTTTGTTAATGACACGTCGAGGTATTTGTGTAAATATGTATAATCCGGGGAATCGCAAAAACTATCAAAATCAAAGAATGAGTTTGGTTATTAGTAAATTTTTCGTCAATTACTTGCTAATTAGTTCTATTATGGAATACGGTTCTTGTATATGCTACTTGTATATTATGCTGTGCCCACAACGATGTCTACCCCCTCACATGGAGGGGATGGACACCACATTATGTACGTGTAGCACCACCATTCTATTATTTATTTCAATTGAAATATAACTGTATATCTATTCCTTATATAAAAAAAGACTATAATTCTCTAACAGAACTTCAGTCAGCAACAGAGTTTGGTTTCATTTTGCCACTGCCAATAACCAAGGAATCGTAAACAGAAACTGCTACATATAATCGATTAATAACGAGGCTGGGACGTACAAATTGCCCTCTATATGTACTCTAGATGAGTGACGGATATAACAGAACCAAAATATAAAGAAAAATATCCCATAATAATCTAAATACAACAACACAACCGGAGACACAGCAGAAATTTTCAAAGCATGTGATCCCTTTTTAACATCTATGGATCATGGATGCGCTAAGATGTGAAATCATTAAGTTCTCCTCATTTTGATGTTAACAGGTCTTTCTTTGTAGGATTGAACTTTTTCGACCGCTCTTCGCATTGGTCTCGTAATAGAAGTTCTTCGTGATTCCTGAGTTTCGAAATCAGAGTCATGACCATAGTCAAAATCTTCTTTTTTATTAGATGAAGACACTTGAGATGATCCGTCTGCACAAGCCGAACTATTTGCAGGTATTGCAACTGGAAACTTGACATCTTCTATCTCAAACAAATTCTCATTCGGTTCCTGCTGTTGGATTCTAGAAATAGCAGATTGTCTTCTTAGACAGCGTCTGAATTAAAAACACGGAGATGTTAGTAATGACAATAGAGATGGCGAATAGGGAAAAAGTAGGGTAATAACAATTTTAATTGTTGGACAGTGTAAAGTCTAATTGTGTATTCCTATTCCCAATCGTGATGATCATGACGACAAATTTAAACTATAACAACATTTTAGACACCACCACTCAAGACGACAAAATAAGATAAGCAAGGAAGAACTTAATCAAGATGTCAGCCAAATGCCAAATCATATGCATTATTAGAATAAGCCAATGATATTAATTATTGTAAAACCACGTCTACCATATAATCTCCAGATCATGTACTTCAAGATCAAATTGATTCATTTGCAAATTAAGTAAAATACCTTTTGCTATCCCCCGCCTCTTTTTGAGTAGCTTGTTGACATATTGTTAAAGGGCCCAAAGCTACAAAATCCACAAGTTATATTAAGTTTATTACTAAAACAAGGCCTATTATATCAGAGGGCAGTGCCAATAGGATGTACATTGACTTCTAGAGTTACGCCTCTGGTTCGCATTGCAAGTTTTGTTGTCCTCAGGTTCCTTTACTCCAAGAATGCATAACATATAGTTAGTGAGAGAGGATCAATTAAATGGCAGAAAAAATTAAATAAATATCAGCTATTGCACCTGCAACTGATTGTTTTGAATGTTCACTACTTCCTGGCCTTGCATAAAATAGCAGGTAAAAAACAAGAACTCAAAATTATGAACTGTTCAATTCTAAGGTCCCATCATGATGCACAGATAGGCATTCATTCCAATATCATGGCAGAGGAATACAGTACAAATGTGATTCCGATTTGTCTAATGCATAAACTGGGTTATTAGTGAGAATTCTCCAATAAATGTTTGATAACAAGCACACATGTAAACATGTAAATCAGGGCATTTCTGAATTGTACATGTGAAGATTCCCCAAAATTACTTCACGAGAAAAAGAAACTTATAATAAATATCTCTACGAAGCTAGAAATTTACTAAAAGATGTTCAACCAATATTTACTTTGACTAGGCAGGCTCAACAAAATGAGCTATGAGAAATGTTATGAAACTGATCGCAAGATATGGCAAATAATGAAGAAATAAAGAAGAAAAAACACAAGAATTTACGTGGAAACCCAATTCAGGAAAAAACCACGGGCAGAGGAGAACAATCCACGATAATAAATAGTTTTGTATTTACAATATCAAGCTTTCAATCATCTCAATTGAAATCTAAATTCTCAAACTCTCAATACGTTGTTGAAGATGTAAAGAATAATATATGGATGTTATATTATGGAGNCTAAGATGTTAATACAATGTGGTTACTGTAGCAGCACTTAGGCACCGCGATGATGGCGCCTAGGAGCTAGATCTCGGGTAAACCTTGCCAAAACATGTTTTTACCATCCACAAATCATTTTCCAAGCCAAACTTCTAATTATCAATGATGTTTAATCTCCTCAAGTTAGGATTCTTCAAAGCCAAGTACCATAAACTTCCTCCAATCATTCAAGTACGATAGACTTCCTCCAATCATTCAAATCCCAAATCACATGAAATTCCAACAAACCATATATTCAAATCACATGGAATTTGGATCAAACCACAACAAGAAAATATACCAGTTCATTTTCAAGATGAGAACAAATAAGCCAATAACGGATGGGATTAATAAACATTCAATTCAAAGAATCCAACTTAAACAATCCTCGAACATACAAGCAACATCTTAATATCCCTACTAGTAGAACATACTAATATAAATTATGTTTCAATCACAGAATGGAGAAAGCATTTCAATTAACATTTCATTGTACCATCGACTGAAAAAATGAATTTACCTTGAGTTCAAGATTCTTTGTTCTAAGAAGTGCTTCCTTACACCCAATCTCATGCTGTAGCGCTTTTAACTGTGATGAGCAATATTGAATCAAATACAAATGTTAAAGACACGGGAAATCAGCCAATCAAAATTTCCAAACCTTACCCTTTCTTTACCCAAATTAAGTTCCTGCATTCATAATACAGAAATTAAGTATCACGCAAAAATATCACATTATCCTCAGTGTAGTTATATATTGGTCAACAATGCAAAACCAACTGACCGCTGACATATGACTATTTGATTGAGCAAGATTCCAGTTCTGCATCTGCATCTTTTGAAGACAGGCTCTCAAATTCTGAATCTCAATTCCAGTCAATTCTACAATTTTACTGTCAGAAATTTAAGAATATCAATTATTTGAAAAACATGAGGAAAAAAAAAACCAATGCGCTCACACAAAATAGACATAAAAAATAAAATAAGTACTTTTTCTCTTGAATAAGCTTCACCATGGCCATATTTTCCTGAATTCATAAAGCACACAAGAATAATTAGAAAAGGTAAAATACCCACAAATTGAAATAACATTATATCCTGTAATTTTGAACATCATCAACAAAAAAATATAAAAAAATAAAAAAAATTGTACCTTGATAAGATTATCGATGTAGTCTTTAGCAGAAGCAGAAGCAGAAGCAGAAGCAGAATCCGGCTGTGACTTTTCAGAAATGATTATAGACTTGGGCAGTGGCAAAGAATTAGTAACGTCTGAAAGACCCCTTCTCATCATGTTTCCCAAAGAGGATCTTTTTGCCACTTTATCTCCTTGCATTCTGCAAGAGTGTAATAGAATCCCCTTTCAAGAACCCTAAGAAAATCAAATAAATCCTCAAGACTCAAGAAGCCCGCCTAACTTTTCAATGAATTAGATTTGAATTGATATTGAAGATTATTCTAAAGTGTAATCAACTTCCCAAGGACCTTTTTGCCATTTTATCCCTTCCTCCTTGAAGAACCCGAAGAAAATCAATTAATCCTCACAATTCAAGAAGCCGAGAAGAATTTTCAAGGAAACAGATCTAAATTGATAGTCAAGAGTTATTCTGAAGGGTAATTAACTTCTCCAAGAGAAAGAATTTGTGGGTAAATGAGCAACTGGGAAAAAAAGGGCGTTAGAGTGAAAATAAATGCAAAAAGTTAGATACGATTTGGTTCGGACTCCAACGGCATCCCGAAGCAAACTGGTTCTCAAATGAAAAGGCATAACCGTACCTACATTCAAATAGGTTTGGAGGACGCAAGAGATGAGTTATTTATAATTTGAATTAATCTACTTGTACAATTGTCCTTGACAATGATGGATGACAACATTAATGTTGTCAAAATTCGGACCATTAATTTAAAAACATTGTTTGAAATAAATGAATGTGATTTTGACAAATATGATTGTCAACCAACATTGTAAAAAAATGTTGTACACCTAGCATCATTCTTATAATTTACCATATGTTTGATACACATTCTTACCAAAATTTATTTTCAACCACATATTTTTAATAAAATAATATTACACGTAAATTCAAAATTTTTCCTTATTTTTCAATCACATATTTTCCATCACATTGTTAAGTTTTGGGGTTCCATCTTAAAAAGTCAACATTATTAAGAGGAGTAATCCAAACTATAATAAATTGATCAATATTTTTATTTTTATTCTCTATGAAATTGTATCTCTTAACATGCCCCCTCAAGTTGGTGGCTTGTTTGAGTAGATCAATTTTGAAATTCGTGTGCTCAATTTTTTTGAGTCGTAATTGGATGAAATTACTCGTTGGAGTTTAATGAGCTTTGATACCATGTTCAAATTTGGGGTTCCATCTTAAAAGATCAATCTTATTAAATAGAATAGTCGAAACTCTTATAAATTGGTCTATACTTTCATCTTTATTCGATGTGAGATTGAATTCCTTAACACACATCACATCATAAAATGCATTTTCTTCTCGATAAACGTATTTGGGATGATGGAAGGTTGCATTATTCAAAGCTTTATCTATTTAGCATTGGTTTGATGGTCATTATTTAAGAAAACTAATGTTTTAAATAGTCATTTTTTGAAAAATGTGTGGTTAAAAAATATGAAAATTTTTTAAGTTTACGTACAAAATATTTTATTGCATAGATGTATGATTGAAAATGAGTATGAGAGTTAAAAAGTTTTACTTTAAAGAAAGACAAACATGAACTTAATGGAAACTCTTGAGCAATTGAGAGGGCTTATGTTGGGAAATAAAATGGATCGAAATAATATATATAACACGATAGAAAGTATATAATCGTAAACAAATAACAAGATAAAAGACAGAGAATTAATTGATAGAGGAATTGAATATTTTATTCAATTGACTAATATGTAGAAAATAAAAACAATAGCTGTGCATACACAATCATTCTATATTTCAATTATATAAAATTTGTGAAAAGAGTCTAGTATTTATAGGGATGGATGCCAAACCCTAAAAATATCACAAAGATGGAAAAAAGATCAAAAAATTATGTGGAATAAGATAGACAATATTTTTCCAATAAAAACACGTGAGAAGGAAAATCATTTTCTCAAAAATCCAACTTAATTTAGGTAAAAAAAAAAAAAAAAAACCAACAATCTCCACCTTGACACACATTCCGATGCAACGAAGGAAGTTTCATAATTTATTCACTTGAAAAAATAAATCCAACTGTAAAGGAAAATCTGAATTCTTCAACAAAAATCAAACTTTCTCCAATCTGAATTTCTGCCACGGTACTAAATTTGTACTGACTTTTCTTCCCAAGTTTTGTCCGATCTTACAAGGTGTATAACTGGGATCTCTTTCGCCACTACAATACGACACAAACACTCTTTCGAACCTTCAAGACTCTACCTCTTCCAGAGAATGTTTGTCCTTTTGAATCAAGAGTACTTAACGAAATGAGATTCTTCTTCAAGCCAGAACGTGATCAAGTGTTTTACATGTTCTATCCACCAATTTCAATCTAAATCTACTAATACTAGTTACCCGACAAGGTTCGTTGTTACACAAGGTTCGTTGTTACCTATGACAACGACATTTTGCATCATCGTTTCATATGTTTTAAACAAATCCCGTTTGGACACATATAGAACACACGAGTTGTAGACAAAATTCACTCATCGTGAGGTTTGGATTTCCATGTCAAAAATTGTCAAAACATCTCAATTACTCAAATAGTTTCAGCTATGTTGGTCTCGTCTGAAGTATTTGATTACTTCCAATGATTTGCAATCAAATTACTTTTGTTCTACAATTTGTCGTAATCCTTCTTAATGTGTCATTTCTTCCTGTAATAATAACAAACCTAATTACTAAAATTTGACATCAACTTACCCCTTCTCCGATCACTATTAACAACGAGGCTTTCTCCATCTCTGATCTCAAATTCAATCAGATGCTTCATATTCTCTTTTAAAAACAAGGCATTGTACGCATCTTCAGTGGTGAGAGTGTAACAACTATGCAAGATAGTGTCTCTAAACGAAGCGGGCAGCAAACATAAAAGAAATAAGGTCAAATCTTCTTTATCATATTTTACCTCTAAAGTCTCCAAATCAGCAACAATCTCCTTAAATACAGGCAGATGAAAATAAAACATTTGCTTCAGATGCAATTTGTTTGTCAGACTTTTAATCATGCACAATTGCTCCAACTTCAACAACAACGCAGTTGCCATTTTCTCCTTCAAAATCCTAAAGAATATTGCTAAAGAGATGAAGATGAATATGTGAAAGTGCATTCTGATCCTTCCGTTGTTTCTCTTCCGTCGTCCAAATTGTAGGGATTTCGTCAATCCCAACAACGCATCATCCAAATCCATCTGCACGAGTACAACTCGTATCTTCACTACCACAACGAGAATCTTGTAATGCGATTCTAGAGTAGAATTTCATACTTCATGACTGTCATCAATAACAAAAATCTTGAACAAATCACAACCAATAACTCGATACCACTTGTTGAGAAATAAAATGGATTGAGGTAATATGACATAATATGAAGTATATGATCGCAAACAAAAAACAAGACACGTGACAAGGAATTAATTGGTAGATGCATGAATTATTTTATTTAATTGACTAATATAAAGAAAACAAATACAACAACCGTGTCTACACAATTATTATATATTTCAATAATACAAAACTTGTGAAGAGAATTAAGCATATATAAGGGTGCATGCCAAATCCTAGAAATACCACAAAAATGAAAACACAATAAAGAAAATAATGTGGAATAAAGAAAATAATGGTTTTTCAATAAAAACGCATGGAAAGAAAGAAAAAATATTTTCTCAAAGTTTAACATAATTGGGGTAAAAAAACCCAACAGCTTATGAAAACAGGAGACGGAAAATAAGAGAGACCTATGAACAACTAGATATATACAAGAAGGAGAACAAGCATGCATTCTCATTGCAAGTGATATTTATCTTTTTAGAGACTTGACCTATAAAAGTAAGGTTAATCATCCGTTTGGTCAAATTTATAAATTATTTACAAATAATCAGATTTCATTTTAATTACATATTTCAATGAAGTGATATTTGTCTTTTTAGCGACTTGACCCACAAAAATAATGTTAATCATTGATGCTTCCTTTGGTTAAATTTATAAATTATTTATAAACGATCCGACTTCATTTTAATTACATATTTCAATAAATTCAAGAGTACTTAATGAACATGTTCATTAAGTTAATGCACTAATGTCTACATTGGTCATCCTCCTCGGCTGTAAGGTCAATGTGCTTAACCTATAATATTTGACTCCTTAATGAGGAATTGAAGGCACTTCAAATTTGAACTAAGCCCTTTGTAATTTTTTTACTATGTAGACGTGTCTCCCTCCGTATTGTAAGGAATAGAACAAATTTAGTTATTTCGGAGTATGAAATTTAATACTCTCGGTCACTATTTAATTAAAATTTATATGTTTTGGTTTCAATTAAGCTCTTGTTTGGTACAAATTAAAATTTGATTTTAATTTCAATTGAAAGTTAACAATTAATTTTAATCATACATTTCATGAGACCTACAATTTTTCAACAACATATTCCATCAACTTTTATCAAAATTTACTAAAAATCTAATTTTAATCTGCAACAAACATGGGCTAAATAATGAGTCATAGCTTTTTAACACATATCAATTAAACATTGATAAGGAATACTGAATACTCCACACTCTGGAAATATAGAATTTTTTTTAGTCGAATTGAAATTTCATCCAAAAAGCTTAATTCATATGTGGAGTAGCTCGATCCATTATAAATTCATCATTTATCCCTTGTCTAATCAATTTTAGATTTTGTTCGCACATTACCAAAAAAACCTTTTTCGAATGAAGCACCGACTATTATATTTGTCTTCCTCAAATCAAGAAGGAATACGTGCTATATCAAGGCACAATTCTTTTACCGTGTCGGGGCCAATACCTTACGTGGGCACAACCAACCACAATTGGAGTCCAACTGTAAATTTTTCTAGCAATCACGATCAAAATTAAGAGCCCAACTAGCTTTGTTCAACTGCAAATCTATCTCGTGGATTCACGCGATTAAGTTTGGAGTCCAACTCTGATACCACTTATAAAAAATTGAAGTTCGGCCTAATGGTTAACCAATAGGGTAGAATAATTCAATTTCTTGTAAAACTCATCATTTATACCATAAGAGGCTTTGTTCACACTTTGTTCAAGAGAATCACTATGACTTTTCTTAAAATTTATAAAAAATCTATATATTATTGTTGAGGCTCG